ATCTTGTTCTTTAAATTATGGTTCGTGAACCTCTACTGGCCTGAAAAGTTCCTGGCAGGCCCCAGTCAGGCAGATCTGGGCCTTGCATTTGGGTCATCAGGATGTTGCATTTGGACTTTTTGTTCTTTTGGGGGACCACACTTGACTGCGCTTAGAGTTTACTCCTGGTTCTGTGCTCGGGAATCACTTCTGGCAGGTTTGGGGGACCATGCGGGGTGCCGGGGATCGAGTCCAATGCCTTGACCCCTGTGCATCTCTCTGGCATTGCCCTGTCTCAGCTGTCAGCTGGTCTGCAAAATATTTCTCCCATTTTCCCAGTCTGCAGGTGTCCAAAGGTTGAAGAATCGTGTTTTAAAATGTTAATATTCTAATTTCCAGCACGGAATTATTCTTCCAGAAAGATACAGGACAGTGAAGAGGTCCGTAAGGCTGACTGGGTGGCAGGAGAAGGTGCTGCCCCTGCAAACTCAGTAGCTACTTCAGAGAGAGGTGACATGTCCTGGGCCAGGCCCCTTTACTGACATAGTGGGGACACAATCGGGAATCCTGGCACTTTTGTTCCGTTGAGCCCTTCTTTCTCTCTGATCTCTTCTGGCGTGAAGACTCGGCCTCCTTCGTGCAGGAGCCGTCCTGGGCCCTGGTCAGCCCTCAGACACGCCACAGCCAGAGCTGTTGACCCTCCCTTCATCACTGGGCTTTCCCTGTATCTGGCCCCAGCACTAAGAGAACTTTGCTTTTCCAATTTCCAGGTCAGGAAGTTTCTGCCCCCGCCCCCTTTTCTGGCCCTCTTCTTTGTCTTGATTTACTGATTTCTTGTTTTCTGTCTCCCTCCTGCTGCCTGTTGACTGCAGCTGTTGCGTGCAGGGAGCGCCTTGAGCTGCGGGGCTTATGCCCTGGCACAGGTACGGGCTGGGGGTCACCTTCTCCCCATGCATTGTTGTCTTTCATGCACCCCAGGGCTCACCCCGATTTGAGGTCCTCACACTACAGTTTGTGGGGCCTGGGGTCCAAGCAGCAGACCTTCGAGGGTTGGCTGCAGGCGGCAGCACCAGGGATCAAACTCCATCTCACACTCTTTGGACCATGAGCCGTCTCCTGCCGCACCCCACCCCCCCGCCCCGCCCCACCCCACTTCGTTGTCTTGAGATTGAAGTGCTCAGGAACCCAGCCCACCTTTCCATCTTCACCCACCCCTGTCATTCCCTGGCACTCCCTCCCACTTCAACCGTCACTCCCTCACTGTCGCCAGGTGTCACATGGGTTGATGCGACCAACTCCGAGGCAGCTCCTGCTTGCCAGGCATCATCAGGCTAAGCCCTGAGCACAAGAATAACTTTGCCCTCAAGTTCAGGGGACTATGGAGACAGTTCTGAAAACAAGTCAAGATGATACAATGTGACAAGTGCTAGAATAGAGCTGTGAGCAGGTGTGTGGGAGCCAAGGAGGAGGCAACGCTTAACTGCTCCTGCTGGGGGAGGAGCAGGGACAATGCCTTTGATTCTGCTGTGGGGGAGGTGGCACCAGCCTCTCTGCCTGTGAGGGGTAACCTGATGGCAGAAGGTAGTGGACAGTGAGAGTGGGCGGGCACGAGGGATGTCTTCCTGTTGAGCCTCCGGTAGGGGTGTACTGCAGTGTCACATGGGCATGAAGCGGAAGGCAGTAGGAGAGCCAGGAACGAGAGGAGGAAGTAGCCTTGGTAAGGGTCCGGGGGCAGGTTGGAAGGGCGGGGACAGTGGGATTTGGGAAAAGGAGAGATGGTAAAAGATGAGGGCAGGAGTTGGAGAGATGACACAGGGGTTAAAATCTCCTGGCACTGACGGGTGTAGTCCAACCCCTCTGACCTCGCCGTAAGACAAGGGTCCTCTGGAAATTGGGATAGGAGGGCAGGAGAGATCCCCGCACTCCCAGTCAGTGAGCATGGGGATATTAATTTCACCCACGGAGAGAAATGGAGTGAGAAGCAAGCTTCCTGGGAGACCACTGAATCTGGGTGCTGACCGACAGCAAGGAGCATCCCAAGGAGCGCTCCAGCACACTGGTGTGGGACTGGGAAGGGCCCAGGGGCGGAGGACATCGGTTTCAGAAACACCTCAGGGAAGGAATACCATTGACCCAACACTTCTATTGTACAGTTATTTTTTTTCCTGCCGTATCAAGGATCAAACGTCAGTTTTCATATATACAAGGCAAGTGCTCTACCACTGAATGACATTCTGTGAGCAAATATTTGGTAACTGTGAAATCTACATATCTTTGATAAACTGTATTTTGTTAACAGTGCTGGAAATTAAACCTAAAACTTCATGGAGCTTCTAAGGATATAAAGATGTGTGTAAAGATTTATTTGTAAAATGCTCATTGTTTATAACTAGTGTATCTGCATACGTGTATATGTACCTATATACAAACAGTGGAAACATTGTATAAGCTTATGACAGTGGGGAAATGTTCAACAGTAGGGGGTAGGTTAAATAAATATGCTATATACTTGGATCAAAGTTTAGGCAATACACTGGATTATTGATTTATTTTTGCGGTGCTGCGGATTGGACCCTGGGCCTCACATTCTTAAGTGCTCTACCACTAAGCTACACCCCCAGCCCTGAAACAAATATTGTAGAGCAGTGGTGGGGAATCTTTCTTCTGTCAAGGGCCACTTGACATTTGTGACATCATTTGAGGCAGACAGACCCAGGCAGCCAACGAGAAGCACGAGTGTCTGTCCCATCACAGGCCAGGACCAGACCATGGGGTTGTGCAGACTGTCCTTAGAGAATGCTTATAGGTATCTTGCAAGTGGGGAAAAAAATTCTAAAACCACAGAGCAAAAGTTCAGTCTTTAGTTAAAAAAATATTAAGATGTTAATAGTTCTTTAGGGATGATAGGAATATGAATGTGCTTTATCCCAGATTTTCTACATTTTTATACAGAGCTTTTGTTATGATGTAATTTTTTGTTTTATGTTGGGGCCACACCCCAACAGTGCTCAAGGGACCAAGCGATTCCCGGGATGGCCCCTCTGTTTCGTGCAAGGTAAGCTCTGAACCCAGGGAGCACTCCTGGCAGAGCTCAGGAAAGCATATGGGGTGCCGGGACTCGAACCTGGTTCAGCCACATTTAAGGCAAGCATCTTACCGGCTGTACTATCTCTCCAGCCCCCGTGGTGGGACTTTAGACACAAGCATATGGATGAAGAGGAATGACTTGGGGAGTTCATGGAAGGGGAAGAGGATCAAGGGCAGAGCTCGGTCATTGTGGCCACCTGGCCAGTCCCTGCCTCTACCTGTCCTGGGTGCCCACGTCATATCCGCTAGTTGACCGAAAGATTGACTTATGACTTCTCAGCTATAAACTGTGGACCTTGGGAGCCTTTCCCTACTAAGTCTCCGCGTCGTTCTCTACAGCAACAAGGAAAACATGGTCCTCAAAAGAGTTGTGTAACAGTCAACCCTCCCTTCCCCTGGAGCCATCTTTCCGGCCTCAGCCACATTAGACTCCCGGTCTCCCCTGGCCCTCCCTTTGGGAATGCCTCCTGGCGCTGAGCACCCAAGGCTGTCTGCTGAGCGCTGTGCTCTGAGTGGGGCGAGTGCCCAGCCCCTGACCTCCGTCCAGGCCCGGCTGTGCCCGCTCCGCAGAGCAGAGCTCTCCATGTCTGGTGACGGAGCTCGCCAGCGCTTTTTCTGACTTGGCTCGCAGATGACTCAAAGGCTTGATTGCTCAAGGGGAGGTTGGTTCATTCAGATCTCTGGAAATTTTTTTCTCCTCCCACTTTGCAACTCCGGCCAGGTTTTTCTTTCCTATCTGTAGCAATGACCTGAAGAGAAGGGGAGCCTCTCTGGGCCGTAGGCGCCCGGTCTGAGCATTCTCCCTCCCCCGGACGGAGGTGCCGGCGCCTCACCCCCAGCCCCGGAACCGGCTGCGACACCTGCCCAGGTTGCCGGGCTCGCAGTCAGGTGCTTCCCGCCAGGGAGCGTGCTCAAGGCGGCACTTCTGCGCCCGGCCCGCGCCTCCCGGCTGCGCATCCTTCCGGCAGCGCCCAGACAGGGGGCCGGCCGAGGCGGTCAGGGGCCCCGCGACCCTGGCCGTTGAGCGTTCCCGAACAGTCCGTGCATCCGCGGACCGGGCCGAGTCGCACAGGCCCCGCCGCCCCTCCACGGCCCAGTCGGTCAGGGGGAATCGGACGAGACTCCCCGCCCCCAAGCACAAACGGCCGAAAGGCTTCTCACAGACCTCAGGGTGCTCCGGAGGGCTCCCTCGGCGACCCCACCGGAGCGCGGCGGCCCGCCGCGTCCCCGTCTCTCCGCGCGCGTCCGGCCTGACCCGCCCTCGGGGGCGCCGCTGCCGGGGGCCGCCGGGCCGAGACCGGCCCCATGGGCGCGCCGGGCTGCAGCCTGCCGGCGCCGGAGCGGCAACCCCGCGGGGCGGGCCGGGGGCGCAGCAGGGGCCGAAGTTGGGCTGACGGGGGGCGGGGCGGGGGCCCGGGGACGCCGGAGGGGCCGGCGCGGGGGCGCGCGGCGCGGCCGGCGGCGGCTCGGGCCCCCGCGCTCGGGCGCCGGCGGGCAGCGGCGGCCCGGGCCGGGGGACGCGCCCCCGCGGCCCGCGCCCCGCCCCGGGGCGGCGGCCTAGGCCGGGGCGAGCGTCCGGGCCCGGCGCGGCCGCCGCAGCGCTCGGAGCCGCAGGTCCGGGCCGGCCCGCTCGGCGCGGGAGGGGCGGCGGGAGGGGCCGGGCCGTGCCGCAGGAGGGGTGCGGGCGGCGCCCCCCCGGCTCCGAGCGCTCGCTCCGCCCGCCGCCCCCTCCCCCGGCCTCTCCGCCCCCCATCCCACCTCCCCACCCTCGTAAGGAAATAATGCTGGCGGGCGCCCGCACCTCGCAGTCGCTCGCCGCGCGCCGCGGGGACAGGGCGCCCGCTCGCTGGCCACGCCGGGACCCCCGCCGCGCCGCCTAGGCGGCCCCGCCAGCCGCAGGGACAGCGCCGGCCCGCGCCCGGCCCGCGCCGCGGCCGCCTCGCACCCCGGTCCGCGCCCGCCGCCCTCCGCCCAGGACGGGGGTGCCACGATGCCCCGCCGCTGCGCAGGGCCCCGGGCCGCCCCCGACGTGTGACCCCAGCCGGGTGCCCCTGCTCGGCCGGCCGCCCGGCCCGGGGACGCCCCCGGCCCGGGCCCCGGGGGCGGAGGCGGAGGCCGCCGCCGGGAGGGGCATGTCCGGCCCCGGGAGCGCCAGCCCCCCGGGCTCCGCGGCGCCCGCGCCCCGGGGAGGCCCGGAGCACCGCGCGGCGTGGGGGGACGCCGACCCCCGCGCCAACGGCTGCCCCCACGGCCCCGGGGGCGCGCCGGCCGCGCAGCCGCGCCTGGCCGGCCGCTGGCGCGGCGACGACGGCGGCGGCGGCGGCGGCGACCCCCTGGCCGGGGGCTTCGGCTTCAGCTTCCGCTCCAAGTCGGCCTGGCAGGAGCGCGGCGGCGGCGGCGGCGGCGACCCCCGTGGCGGGGGCGGCCCCGAGGGCCGGCCGCGCGCGGGGCCCGAGCCGGGCCCGGCCGACGCGCGGGCCCGGGGCCGCGGCCCCGGGGACCCCGAGGCCGGCGCCGTCGAGGCCCGCGCGGGGCCCGGGGAGGCGGGCGCGGGCGCGGCGCTGGGCGCCTGCTGCCTGGCGCTGCTGCACATCTTCCGCTCCAAGAAGTTCCCCTCGGACAAGCTGGAGCGCCTGTACCAGCGCTACTTCTTCCGCCTGAACCAGAGCAGCCTGACCATGCTCATGGCCGTGCTGGTGCTCGTGTGCCTCGTCATGCTGGCCTTCCACGCCGCGCGGCCCCCGGTCCGGCTGCCCTACCTGGGCGTGCTGGCGGCCGCCGTGGGCGTCATCCTGGTCATGGCCGTGCTCTGCAACCGCGCCGCCTTCCACCAGGACCACATGGGCCTGGCCTGCTACGCGCTCATCGCCGTGGTGCTGGCGGTCCAGGTGGTGGGCCTGCTGCTGCCCCAGCCACGCAGCGCCTCCGAGGGCATCTGGTGGACCGTGTTCTTCATCCACACCATCTACACGCTGCTGCCCGTGCGCATGCGGGCCGCCGTCCTCAGCGGGGTCCTGCTGTCCGCGCTGCACCTGGCCATCGCCCTGCGCGCCAACGCCCAGGACCGCTTCCTGCTCAAGCAGGTAGGCCCAGCGGCGCGGGGGCCGGACGGTGGGCGGAGGGGCAGCGCAGACGGGCCGAAGCCCGCGCCGCACCATCTCGCCCGAGCCGCGGGGAAGATGGGGTGGAGTGGCGAGAAGGCAGCGGCCTTCGGTCCGGCCCTCCCGGTGGGGACCAGGGCGGCACCCCTGGCCCAGCCCTGTCGGGGATGGGCAGGCGGCGCCGTCCTTGAGCAGGGACCGGCAAGCGTGCTTCGGTGACTGAGAGGGTCCCGAGGCCCGGTTGCCGCCTTCAGCGAGTGGGCAGGACTCTTCAGCCGTGCGCAGGCGGGGTCCCTCCGGCCCCTGCCTGAGTGGGTTCTCGGGACTCCTGCATCCCGTGCTCTTTGCTTACTCACTGCCAGGGGAGTGGGTTTTCACATGTCCCTGCGAGGATTCGTCCGGCGAGCCTGGAATGGTGGGCTCCGGGGAAGGAAAACTTCCACCGGGTGGATGGGTGGCACCACCGGAGGCTTCTGGGAGAGGCGCGTGCTTGTCTGCACAGCCTCCTCCTTTGGCAGTGCCCTAGTCCGTGCCCCTGGGCCTCAGCCGCTGAGCCCTGCCGAAGTGGCTTGTTGGTGTGAACTGTGCCGAGTCAGATGGGCCCTTGGAGTAGGTTGCGCCCCCCCCCTCTCCTCCCCAGTGCTTGGGCTCAAACCCAGGTCCTCACACCTGCTGGGCAAGAGCTTTCCCGCTGAGCCTCATCCACCCAGTCTCTGGGCTCTGCCTTCTCTGAGCCTCTTGCCGTCCTCGTGTGCCTTCTCCCCAGTCCCTGCAGTTCCTCGCCGGTCCGATGAGCTCCACATCCTCTTTCCTGAGGGGCTCTCCCCCGGCCTGTGGCTCCCAGGGCGCGGTGCTCTCTGCCGGCTGAGTTCTGGGGCAGGCTCTGGGCGCCGGGGCTCTTGCTGACCCCTCAGGATGCTCTGCGATGGAGAAAGGGGCCATCTAGCACCCCCGGGGACTGAGTTTCTTTTCCAGAGAACGAAGGCCGCTGGGATGTGGCTCAGCAAGTCAAGTGCAGCTTCTGCCTGGCCTTGGGGGTGGGGTGGGGTGCGGGGATTTTGATCCCTGAACTCACAGGATCTCATAGAAGCCCGTTGCTGGCAGGGAGCGAGAAAGCTGCCTCCTCCCCTGCCCCAGTCTCCTCTGCACCCTGGCCCCCTGCAGCCGCCCCCGCAGGCCCCTGCTCCCGGGGCTGAGTGCTTACTTGTCCTGCGGGAAACTTGCTCTCCATCCCCGCAGCCCCTCCCAGCCCCTCCGTGCGGCCGTCCTGGGTGAGGACGCCTGTTTCCCACCCTCTTCCTTGTCTCACACATCACAGGAGTTCTTCTTCGTAGGGAGTTGGTAACCGCTTGCCGGTTCACTTGGGTTTCCGTGAGTGGAGGTGATGGGGCTGTTCATGCGAAAGTTTTTCCTAGCTTGTGTTTGGAAAGAAGAAAAGTTTTTGGAGATCAGCTTTGAACTTGAGAGAGAAACCCAAGGAGAGGTGATGGCCTAAAAAAAAAAGTTAACTATTCCGTGAGTGCTTCTGAAGGCTCCCACTCTTTTGACCCGAAGGCCTCGGTCTCACATGGGGGCTGGGTCTCGGGGGTTATTCCAGGCTTGAGTGGGAGGCAGCTTGCTGAGGCGGGGGCAGCTTTCCTGCAGAGGGAGGGCGAGTCACCCTGCGGAACCTCGGAGAGTTCCGGGAGCACTTTCCTGCACCACACTTGGCATGTGGGGTGTGATGCCAGGTCTTGGCTGTTGACTTTCAGGGGGCTGCAGCTGGAGCCTGGAGGAGCATGGGGGCTTGGGCGAGGCCATCTCCCCTGGGCCACAGAGAATATCGGATGGAGTTGCCCTCAGTTCAGTCCTTCGGCAACCCCCTGGGCTGTCTCCCCCTGCTGCACTGCCTGCCCTGCCCCCTTCTCACTTCTTTTATTGGGTGTGGTTGCCTCCCTCAACCCCCCGGCCCCCCACCACCCGGACTCCAAGCTTCTGGGTGGAGCGACACAACTTTGCAGGCCTGCCCACTCCTTGCTGAGTCTGGCGGAGAGTGTCAGGAACGGTCCGTGACCAAACAGTGCAAACATTCCTTCTGTTTGGCCTCAGAGAAGCCGGTGTCCTTCGGGCTTGTGTTTGGTTTGCCTCTTCCGATTATGCCTGATGCGGGAGTCGGCGGCTGGAGCACGCCCTGGGGGAGAATTGGTCGGGAGGGCAGTGGCGGGGAGGGTTCGGGTCCACACTTCGTGCTTTTTCTCTGCGGGAGAGGCTGGGAATAGGGTGGGGTAGCTGGAGCCGGGGACGTCCCCTCCGTGATGCCCAGTTAGGCCCTGGGACCCTGCCCGAGCCGCCGTTTCTCCTCCTCCCCTGTGAGCTGGCCTGCCTTGCGGCCAGGGCCCTGGGCCTCAGCATCTCGACCTGCCGGGAGCTCCTGTGTGAGGGCCGCTGCCTTGGGCAGGGGGAGGGCGCCTCTCCCTAAACTGCCTGTCCTCCTGCTGCTTTCCCTGAGCCCGGCAGGGACAGGCCCTCCCTCTGCCTCTCACTCTTCTCCGGGGGGACCCCCACACCCCCTGCTTCTCTCTCCCCGCTTGCGCCTTTCTTCCCTCACTTGCCCGCCTCCCCTCCACCCAGCCCCCGACTGCTCTCTGCCCCCTCTCCTTTCACCGCCCGCGTGCAGGTTCTGCTGCCCACCCCTCCCCCAGCCCGTGCTCGTCCCTCACTGCGTCTCCTTGTTGGGGTACAGGAGGAGCATCACGGGTTGTTTTCGTCTCCTCCTTTGCCTGTTGCAAGTCCCCCTGCTACACCCGTACCATAAATAACACTCGAGCATCTGCCAAACACATTCCTCACTTGTGTTAATAGGCTGCAATGATGCCGGAGCCTGTTGCCATGGCAACCTCATTTTTGTTTGACTGTAGCCCACTCTGCTCCATAAAGCCTCTGCACGCACTCACACACAAACAAGGACACGCGCACAATCTGCACATATGCTGGCTCTTGCTGATGCAGCGGGAGGGGACGTCCGTCTCACTGTCCGGGGCCCCTCTGTGAGCCGGGAACGGGCTGAAGAACTCTTTGCCGAGCCGAGGGCCTGCTCACCTGAGGGTGCCATGATTCTGTGGCCAATTTAGCCGGACCTGGTGCAGTTTCCGAGGAGGTTCCAGCCTGCCCCGGTTCCCTGGGCACCAGGAGAGCTGCTGGGGGTGCCCTCGTAGTGGGCACAACCCACCCCACCCACCCTGTCCAAGGTTGTGTCTGCTCCCCGCTGGCCTTTGGGAGAAACGCCCAGGTCGCCTGCACTGTCTTGCTGGGTGCTGTGTGAGCCGCCACAGGAGAGCGGGGCCACTGTGTGGGCTGCACGGGGACGTGAGTGCCTGTGTATGCACATGTGTGTGCATTTGTGCCCCCATGTTTGTGTGTATGTGCACGTGACAGTTTTTGTGTGTGTGTGTGTGTGTGTGTGTGTGTGCGTACCATGGCACCTGTGTGCTGACTTGGGAAGGAGATCATTGTTCTGTCCCATGTATTCGGGCCCGTGGGCTGGCTTCTCCCGGCCACTTGCCTGGCTGATTCAAGTCCGTGAGTGCCCTTTCGACCTTGACTTTTGACTCCTCAGAGAAGAACCATAGATGCACAATTCCCCTTTTCATAAGAAGACTGGGGAGGAGGCTCGAGTGGTCAACTCTTGGCCTCCATCCCTACCCTCTCGGGTGGCCCTCCGGGCAGCTTGGCACAGAGCCTGGCTGTTGGCGGGGAGCCGGATGGCAGCGGCTGCCCCATGATGCCCGCTGGCCACTGCTGCCTCCCTGCCGCCAGGTTGCTGTAAAGGACGATACCCTGGTGCCTCCATGGCTGGGAAGAGTCTGTGCCAGCTCCTGTCCCAGCTGCAACAAACCGAAGCTGGGGGGTGCCTGGAGCGTGGGGCAGCCCGCTTACCTCGTCTCTAGGCCACACTGTGTCCTGTGGTCTCTGTGATGCAGCTTGGAAGGGGTGCAGGACCCTCGGGGCTGGGCGGTCCTGGAGGGAGAGGGGGTCATCTTTGAGTGGCCAGGGCACCCTCCTTTCCTGGACAGGGCTTAAGGGGTGATGCAGTGGCAGACACCCCAGAGTATGGCGGCCCGTGTTTGGCCTCGTGCGTCTCTCGACAGCGCTGCCTGATCTGCTAGAAGCGCTTTCAGTGTCAGCAGGAGAGGCTGGACAGCGGCTTCCCACGGGCCCTGCACACGCTCCCCTCCGTCTGAGCACTTGACAGGGAATGCTGGGGACCCAAGGTGGGAGTCCCCACCCGCCATGATTGTGCCAGCCTCTTGCTGGCTGACCACTGCCTGCTCGGCCCCCGGTGGACTTCATTCGTGGTGACACGAGTCCTTGGTGGCTTACTTCTCAGGAGCATAGCCTGTGTGAGAAATGGAAACAGGCGTGCCACCATGATCAAGCACGCGAGACCTCTGGGTCAGACACCTGCGTTACCTTCAGTCCTGGTCCAGGGGGGTCAGGTAGGAGATCTAGCGAATGGAGGGTGGGTGGGATCTGCATTTGTTTTCTCTCCCAAATACAAAACTTTATGACGACAGTGGGAACGCGCGCGTGCACGCACACACACACACACACACACACACACACACACACACACATTGTTCTTTTTCCCTTTCTGCCTTTGTCTCAAGGCAGTGTCCAAGTGCAGGGCAGGAAGGACCTTCTGCAACATTCCAGGTGCAGTGCAGGAACGGGGCTGTGGGGTGCTGGGGGCCCACATCGTGAGCAGGCAGTTTGGAGAACTGCAGAGCCTTGCTTAGGTTTCTGGACATATTTACCTCCCCGGATGCTTGAGGTCCTTTGAAACACAGTGTTTGCTTGTGAAATTCAGAGGACGGTGGTCAGGGGGACTGAAGCAAGGGGACTGGAAGGACTTGATCTCTGAGAGGATGCGTGGAAGGGTGAGGGCGATCCGGTGGGAGGAGGGCAGGTAGTAGCCAGGGAGGCAGACGGAGAGCGTCCAGAGC